ATATATATATATATATATATATATATATATATATATATATATATATTTATATATATATATATATAAATATATATATTTTTTTTTTTTTATATATATATATATATATATATATATATATATATATATATATATATATATATATATATATATATATATATATATATATATATATATATATATATATATATATATATATATATATATATATATATATATATATATATATATATATATATATATATATATATATATTTTGTTTTTATCGCAGTTTCCAAAATTACATACAGGTTGGTTTTCCACATTGGGTACACAAAACAACCAAACACACCTGTAGGAATCCAGAAATTGTAGAAATAAATGAAAATATAAATAAAGAAAGAAGCTTGTTAATTCTAGGAAATTATAAGAACAATACACTAATTACAGTTTTGTATACCATCAAAACGAAATCAGATAATACTGACTTGCTGCTTGTCAATTACAATTCAGTTGTGTACTCATTTTTCAGCCCATATTGTGACACCCAGTCTAAACTTTTCTTCCTCCCTGAACTATACGTATGAAACTAAACTAAACATATGAGAAATAAATGAAACCGGTTTTAATATAAAATATAAATTTATAGACTTTATAGAGTGTGCTTCATCACACACTCTTTAGTTTCAAATACACTGATTTTTAATAAAATTTATAATCTTATATTTTTGTAACATGAAAGTAATTAGGACCTATTTAAAATATTATTATTTTTATCATTGATTCTCTTTATGTATTGCTATTTTCTTTGTGTAAATGTAAATGTATTAAAATGCTTGTGGAGGCTGTGGTTTGGTTTTATTCAGAGGGGCAAAAATTGCTTTATTGCCAAAGCATCTGCTGTGTGTTTACATTAAACAGAACATTATAAAACAAATGACATAGCACTAGTGACGCATGCAACAACAAAACAAACACACACAATAACTAGCAATATATTTAACAAGCAACAATCTAGGACAAAATAATACTAAAAATAAATGTTAATAAACAATATATTTAACAATCATCATTTAATGATTATTTATAACAATGTGGTGTTTGTAAGAGCAACACTGATGTTTTCATTGGTCTCCAAGAAAGACACAATCTGTTTTTTTTCACCTAATACATATAGATGTTGTGTTATGTTGTTTAACAATGTGAATTTAAGGTAAACTAGCTTCAATTTGGGGTAGAATGTTTCTCTGATGTGCTGATAGTTTGAGCAGCAGGTGAGGAAATGTTGCCAAGTCTCCAACTCTCTCTGGGTTGCCAGTTCTGCTATTATTTGCCATTCTATAGACGAATTACTGATTTGTAAACATTCAGGATGCGAGCTTAGCGAGGTTGCAGAAAAAAAACGGGAGCGCAAGCATTCACAGCAAGGGAATGACATCCGATGCAGTACAGAGTTTGTTGTTGTCTGAGAGATGTTACATTGATTGCGTATTTTATATATTATTTATCTAATGCTTTCAGAGTTTTAAAACAGCTTTACACCCAGTGATAAGCACAGTTATTCGGCAAAATTAATGTTAAAGTGAGCGGCGTTCGTATGAACGAAATAGTGCTTCTATCTGCGATAGCACCCACCCAGTGGATATTGGATAAGACGAAATGATCAAGCCTCCAGTCTGAAATATACAACTATCTTATTGAAACTCCAAGTGTTTTTGCAAGAGAGAAGATAAAGACCTACAAGTCTTTGGATGCCAACAATATAATTCTGTGTGGTCATCTGCAAGAAATAATCTTCCATTTATTTACGTTAGTGAATTGCATTATTGAATGTTGATCTTTACTTTGTTGACTTTAAATTTTTTTTAAAAATACAACAAGTATTGTCGCATGCAGAAATTTCACCAATTGGCAAAAGTGAAGAATTAAAAAACATTGAGAGAATCTAGGCTCAGTTGGGCACCACCATTTCTCCTCTGGACAAACGTCTTGTGCAGAGCTGCAGTCTAGCAGCGGAGGCTGGAAGCAGGACCTCTGCGAAGACTCGTCAGTCCCTGGAGCGTCACAGGAATCAGTCTCAAGCCTGGTTTATACTTCTGCGTCAAGTGACCGGTGTAACCCACGACGCATGCAACGCGCGTAGCTGTGCATTTATATTTCTGCGCTCTGTCTCTGTTGGTCTGCGTTACACTTCCGAAACGCTAGTTGGCAGTGAGGTGTAAATGTTTCTCTGTGACGAGTTTCTTCGCTGCTGTTTTGCTTTTCCTAAACACTTCCGGGATGTACAAGTGGCTCAAACTCGCTCATTTTTAGTTAGGAACTGGCGGGCGTGCAACAACTTTAACTATGAGGTAAATACAAAACAAAACTTTCCATCCGGAGCTCCTTCACGGGACTCCACACTTGTAAACAATCGCTCCTTCCCTTCAAGGCTACTAAGCTGACCAATCACAGAGCTTGCGCTACTCGTCGTTGCGACGTGTAGTACCGTTTTTTGATAGGTGCACGTCAGCGACGCCGACGCCGACGGCGAAGGGCTATGCGTCATCGCCGTAGCATACGCTGGTGTTTGACGCAGAAGTATAAATCAGCCTTCATGCTCTCCACTCCTCCATGACCGCCGCAAGAGTTACTCAGGATACGGCCTGGTCCAGGATTATGAAAACTTGGGATCATCTCGTTGCTGGTCTTGGATCGAATCAGTGGTGCTGCATAGTTTGAGGGCCTCGGGATTAGTCTCCCCAGGTGGAAATAGATAATAAAGAGAATAATTAGCGTAGCTGCTGTTCATAGTGTATATAAACAAGATGCAGAAACCTGTGTGGGGCACATTCATGTATCACACCGCTGCACTGGTGATGCACTGAGTGTATGCTTTACTAAAAAGATAGGCCTTTAATCTAGTTTTTAATTGAGAGAGTGTGTCTGAGCCCCAGACATTATCAGGAAGGCTAATACAGAGTTTGGGAGCCATAAATGAGAAGGCTCGACCTCCTTTACTTGACTTTGCTATTCTAGGTACTACTGGAAGCCCTGAGTTATGAGATCTTAAAGAGCGAGTTGGACTGTAGCAAAAGAGAAGGTTGCATTGGTAAACAGGAGCTAGATTTTTAAAAGCTTTATAGGTGAGAAGTAATATTTTAAATTCAATACGAAATTTAACAGGCAGCCAGTGTAAGGAGGATAAAATTGGGGTGATATGATCATATTTTCTACACCTGGTAAGAACTCTGGCAGCTACATTTTGTACTAGCTGAAGTTTGTTAATAGAGGACGCTGGGCAGCCAGCAAATAGAGCATTACAGTAATCCAGCCTAGAAGTCATAAAAGCATGGACTAGCTTTTCTGCATCTGAGATGGATAGCATATTTCATAACTTAGCGATATTTCTCAGATGAAAGAAGGCAGTTTTTGTGACAGTGGATATATGATTTTCAAAAATTAAAATGCTGTCTAATATGACACCCAGATCTTTTATAGTAGAGCTAATGCTAACTTTGTATCCCTCTAATTGTAGATTGAGTTGTTAGATCTGCTGTGGGGAGGATTTAGGCCCAATAAGTAATAATAACACAAAAACACAATGGGAAAGTCACTTTGTCTACACCTACTGTAAACCTGACCTGTGAAAATTTCAAAAAGTACTTTCATAGAGACCAAGAAGAATCAATTTTTAACTAAAACATTTTAAAAAAGAAGTTGCCCAGTGGCACAGTGGGTAGCGCTGTTGCCTCACAGCAAGAAGGTCCCAGGTTAAAGCCTCAGCTCGGGCAGCTGGCATTCCTGTGTGGAGTTTGTATGTTCACCCCGTGTTCGCGTGGGTTTCCTCCGGGTGCTCCAGTTTCCCCCACAAGTCCCCCACATGCGCTATAGGTGAACTGGGTAAGCTAAATTGTCCGTAGTGAATGTGTGTGAATAAGAGTGTATGGTTGTTTCCCAGTGATGGGTTGCAGCTGGAAGGGCATCCGCTGCGTAAAACATATGTTGGATAAGTTGGCGGATCATTCCGCTGTGGCGACCCCTGATTAATAAAGGGACTAAGCCGAAAGGAGAATGAATGTTTGAATGAATTTTAAAAAAAGACAAACAATGAATTCATATGGATTTATATTTATTGATTCATTGATTCTGATTGGTTTCAATCAATAGCTATTTAATAAGTCAAAGTAAGCAATATATTTTAAGCAATTAACATCAAATCACCTGTCATAAGGTGTGTAATGTACATTTGGAAAAGGAGATCGATTTTAATGCTTGTCATGCATTAAAATATGCAGGGAAACACATATACGGTGCATCATTCAGCAGATGTAGATATGCTTAAATTTCAGGCTGAGATCATTAAGGCAGGATGATTTAATAAAGCCCATCCAAAATAAATTTTTTACACATTACAGACTATCCTTGGTAACATATGTTTGCGCTTAGCTGCCATGACACGAGACGTTTAGGTAGAATTAAACATTCAAAGCAAACAAAAAATGCAAATCTTGCGTGTGTTTTGTTGTAAAACAAGCAACAATGTTTTGCATGTGAATCTAAAGCAAAAAACCCTACAAAAGCACAACACGGATATATATATATCTTTATATTAGTAAATATTGAGAGATGACGTATGACTATGCTCGATATTAAAACATTCAAATTAAATACACATAAAAGGAGCTTTCTTTCAAATCTGTACAGCACATCTACATGAAATAAACAGAGTGACTGTGAAGCGAGAGTGTGTCGATCCGCGGTGTTTGTCAGATCACAGTCTGAGCTGCTCGCTGAGTTTGATAGTGATGGCTTTGACCTCGGTGTATTCCGCCAATGCATATTCACCCCTGCAGGAACACACACACACACACACACACACACACACACACACACACACACACACACACACACACACACACACACACACACACACACACACACACACACATATGCAATACACAAACACACAATCAGTGGTGTAAACTACTGTTTAGATGTCTACTTTATGATGACTGAAATCACCAAAACCTTAGATCAGGGGTCACCAATCTCTGTCCTGGAGCCGGTGTCCCTCCAGGGTTTAGCTTCAACTTGCCTCAACACACCTGCCTGGATGTTTCAAGTATACCTAGCAAGACCTTGATTAGCTTGTTCAGGTGTGTTTGATTAGGGTTGGAGCTAAAATCTGCAGGACACCGGCCCTCCAGGAATAAGTTTGGTGACCACTGCCCTAGACAATCAGTAAATGCAGAATACACAAATTACAGAATATTACGTTTTCACCAAATGGCATCCTCCCGCTCTCCCTCAGGAAGCCAGTACGGAAGCAAATGAAACTGAAATTCATCGAATGTCCGCTAGTTCTGGCTCCATATAGAGCAAATTTCCATTGACCCTACTGTTGAAATGGCCAACTCTACAGCAGAAAAAAGGTGTTTACAGCCTGGCACAAAAAAATTATTTTGGTTCATAAAGCTAATATTACCCTTCATGAGAACTGTGAGGGGGTGAATTTTTTTTACAACTCATCCGTTTCCTTTAGGTTATATTAAGTTTGCATAATTAAGGGCATGGCCAGTTGAGTGACAGCTAGGTCTCGCTGGTCGCCGTCACTTCACCTCAGCTGATTCCAGCTGATTAGCTGCTGAACTCTGCATTTTCATCGTATTTTTGTTTTGTTTTTATGTGGCTTTACACAGTCAGTCGCCTTTTGGAAATATTTCATACAATTATCAAATGATATGGCATGCTGTGTGCACCTAATTGTGCTCACATTGCATTCACGTGTCCTCCATTTCCCAGGTGAGTGAAATTATATACTTATTCACCATCTCTATAAATGTATTTGTTTTATTTAAGATCATTTATCATTAATAATGTTCTTTAGAGCTGTAATGCGCTCCATAACCTGACAGATTGATTAGCTGTGGGCTCTAGAACAGTCATCTGAAGTGTTGTCATACAGCGTTCTGCCTGGATTTCATCAATAGCCCTGCATTTACTATCACAAACTATATTTGAAGTGTTTGGAAGTGATTTGCGTTTGAAAAATGTCATAAGGACTATGTTTAATGGCTCAATGTATTACAGTAGTGTTTTTAAAAGTTTCTAAACATGTACAGCCAAGCACATGCGGTCAGAACACAAACTAGTCGCAGATAATGAAGTATTAAGCGTTCTCCCATAGGAAAGTCTGTCTACGCAGAATGCCAGCAGGTGTCTGTAGCTAATCTCACGCTCCGTCTCTTTGCCCTTATTTGGAATGCCCCGGTTGGTGCATGACGTGCGAACAAAATAGCGACGGTGGGCCACGCCTACTGGTAGCTTCTTTTGGGTTCTTCATAAACCTATGGGTGACGTCACGGATACTACGTCCATATCTTTTACAGTCTATGGTTTTCACACACACCAATTAGTCTGCAGCTCCACCTGCTGGACACTCGTAGATTTAATGATAGATAAAAGTGCTTAGCCTGAGCATTACCATTTTGACATGGCTAGATTTTTGCAACACACATTGTAAACACATCAACCTGCATTCTGTCGACATATCATAGGTGCATACACTCACCGGCCACTTTATTAGGTACACCCGTATTTCAGAAACAGCTGATCTACTGGGATTTTCACGCACAGCCATCTCTCGGCTTTGCAGAGAATGGTCCAAAAAACAGAAAATATCTAGTGAGCGGCAGTTCTGTGGGCGCAAATGGAGAGAGGTCTGGATGCAGACCTGCTGCAGTGCACTCTGAGCTGCATCCAATGATTTTTAATGCGCTCACCTAACCCCACCCCTAACCCTACCCGTCACAGTGACGTCACTCACTGCATTGAATGCATTGTGTCTGCCATTGCATCGCTGAGTGAGGTGACATGAATAAAATCATTGCTCCATATAGGTGGAAGTGACGAACTGCAAGCCTTACATGTGTATATCAATTATATATCTCGTTTTGGAGCACACTAGCTTATAGATATCTTAAAAACGAACAGCACTGATACTAGCATCTAAAAAAATGTATTTTCATTTCATGGGACCTTTAAACCGCAACTAACTGAACTACAGAATTTTACGTTTTCACACACACATTGCATGTAAAATTGATCAAATCAGTCCTGTAACAGTTGAAGCTTCAGCACTCACAGCTCTCGGCCGTTTCCAGACATCTTGTATCCTCCAAATGGAGTTTGAGCATGTAATGCGTTGTAGCAGTTCACCCTGCAGAACAAACAAACATGAGCGATGGACTTCAGATGGACAACACACACAATACAATACCTGTTCTGACACTGCTTCATGCCATTTTTGCATATATTTGCTATATATAACTCAAAAGACACTATTAATAGTGAATAATTCCTTCTTATACTTGATCAGTATTTGCAAATGTAATTTATTAAAACTTCTGACAGCTCATATTTCACCATCTACTAGACCAGTTGTTCTCAAAGTGGGGGTCGGGACCCACCAAGGGGTCGCTGGACAATGAAGGGGGGTCGCCTGGTGATTTCAAAAAATCTATTTAGATTTAATAAACCATAAGAACTACCATATTTTATCCATAACCTACTAAAGAGAAAAAAATAGTCGTTTATAGTTACTATATAGTTACTATAGTAGCTTACTAGTTCTGTTGGATTTGAACCCCTGAGGTAACTACATTATATTAAAGACACACCAATAGCATCAGATGCAGCAGCTTGACTTTATAACACCAGGTTAAATGTTCTGGCCCGTTTACAGCACTGACATCCATGAAAAAAATTAACGAAGAATAGACTTCAGTCAATTGGAGTGTGTGCGCCATTGCATGCAAGGTTTCTGTATTTATAACCACCTCAGAAAATATTGGGGGTTGGGAGTCACTGGCATTGTCATTTTGGGGGTCGTGGGCTGAAAAGTTTGGGAACCCCTGTACTAGACACTTCATACTTTTGGGTTAGAGAGGTAAAAGAGCTGTGCAACTTTAAAATAAATGTTTATGAAAGTACTATGGGGTGGCACGGTGGCTCAGTGGTTAGCACTTTCGCATCACAGCAAGACAGCAAACACACTGGTTTGAGTCCTAGCTGGGCCAGTAGGCCTTTCTGTGTATAAGTATGTGTATCAGGCTTTTTACGTTCCTTTATAGCACATGTAGCGAATTTGGGTCCCAAATTGGGAGTTAAGCTTGGGTTTTACTATCAAAATCATAATAATAACCTTAATTGAACCAGGTTAGTCAATTGCATTTTCGCTTTTCCACTATTATGCTGAACCGTTCTAAGAACACTTTGGTACGGTTACGGTTGTTTCCCCACTGAGTCTGGAACAGCGCGGCACGATTATAAACCGTTCTCGGCACTGTTAGACAACCGTGCTGAACTGTGCCGACAGATTCTGTGTGTTGACGTCACGGCTCTGTTGCCAAAAAATAAAAAAAATAAATAAAATAAAAATATTTAAAAATAGTGCTTTCTTTGTTTTCATTCTCCTGCTTGCGCATGAGAGAGTAACAGCGCAAACAAGAAAGCGAAAACGCTCGGGCTACAGACTCGAAGTAAAACTAGTTAGTAAAAAAACTACGAGGCACAGTATAGATTCTGCTCTACTCCATGACTTTGTGGCTGTTCATCAAGACGACGACAAGGTTTGTTTGAGCCTGGATTGACCATGGTTTGTTTATGTATATATAATTCAGCTGTAATCTATCTGCTGCGTGTGTATTTTAAACATGGCAGGTTTTTTATTTTCATTCTGGCTTGTTGCGTAAGCGAATGACGTATCTCTGTAAACCAATAGCGTTCAGCTGCGCCTTTTGGTACCCTTTCTCATGTTTGGTACCCTTTTTAAAGGGTGCCGAAAAAATGGTATGATACGGTTTGGTTCTGTACGCCTTTTGACAGTGTTTTCATTCTGGCTTGTTGCGCAAGCGAATGACGTATCTCTGTAAACCAATAGCGTTTATCTCTGCCTTTTGGTACCCTTTCGAAAGGGTGCCTAAAAAGTGGTACGGTACGGTTCGGTACGCCTTTTGAAAGTGGAAACAGCCATAAAAGCATACCAAACCAAACCGTACCACACCACTCAATGGAAACGTGCTATTATATTACTGACTGATTGAATTTTTAAAGGAGGATAGTGGAATGAAAGAGTTTAGCAGCTTTAAGGTCTGCTAAATGATGATCAGATGAGTCCATTCACAAACAGATATATATATATAAAATAAAGGGACTAAGCCTAAAAGAAAATTAATGAATGAAAGGATATTTTCACAGTATGTCTGATAATATTTTTCCTTTTGGAGAAAGTCTTATTTGTTTTATTTCGGCTAAAATAAAAACAGTTTTTAATTTTTTATGAACCACTTTAAGGTCAAAATTATTCAAGTGGTGCTCGCTGCAGAGTCATTTGAGGAGAGGTGAGCTCCACAAGGGGGAGCTTAAGCTTGAGCTCCACCTTTTTTGCACTTCTTCTACGAGTGATGTCACTGGGGGTAGGGTTAGGGGTGGGGTTGGTGTACACATTAAAACAGCTTACAGGAGGAGGAGCGACAGCTCATGCTCCCCCTCGCTGGAGCTCAGCTCTCCTCAAATGGCTCTGCAGCGAGCACCCTCTCAAATTATTAGCCCTTATAAGCAATTTTTTTCGACAGTCTACAGAACAAACCATTGTTCTACAACAGGGGTGGCCAACCCTGTTCCTGGAGAGCCACCTTCCTGCAGATTTCAGTTGCTACCCATATGAAACACACCTGAGCCAATTAATTAGGACCTGAACCCCACGTGATAATTACAGGCAGGTGTGTTTGATATGTGTGAGGTTGCAACTGAAATCTGCAGGAAGGTGGCTCTCCAGGAACAGGGTTGGCCACCCCTGTTCTACAATAACTTGCTTAATCACCCTGACCTGTCTAGTTAACCTAATTAACCTAGTTAAACCTTGAAATGTCACTTTAATATATTTTTTAATAAATATATATACAGTATAGTGCGTTATTAAAATGTAAGCAGTTGTATTTTTCCGGTTTAAAAGTGAAGTTGTGTTATTGATTGTTCTACCAGACGGTTCCCGCCTCCAAAGCTGCAGACACACTCATGGCGCGCTGGACGTCCCGCGTGAACACAGCTGCGGTCAGGCCGAACTGAGAGCTGTTTGCCCTGTCAATCACATCCTGCTGACACTCAAACTTCATGATGCACTGAACCGGCCCGAAGATCTGAAACACACACGTATGCACACAAGCAGACGCACACACACAAACAAACACACAAAACAGACAGACAGATAAACACATGCACAGAGAGAGACACACATACACACACACACACACACACACACACACAAATGTAATTAAAAAGGGATTGGGTTGAAAAATGAGCTTAATTATTATTACTGATTTCTGAAAGACGAGTTATTATTTTTCTAATAAAGCTAATTATCAGGCAAATCTCAGCAATAATCTAATAATCAAACTCTGCGCTGCCAAATTGCTCCAGCAGGTGGCGCCACAGATCACAAATACAGATACCTGCCATCTTAAGCTCTATTATGAGTATTTATACTTTTGAATTGCATTATGAGAACTTTATTTTCCCTCCAACAACTTGTGATGTTAAAACGTGAATTTTATTGTCATTTTAATAGTTTAAAGTGATATATTGTCTGGGTTGTAAATGACAGTACAAAAACCTGGGAATAAAGTGCCAGCACTTTTATTTAATCATTTTAAAGAGTTATTTCTTTATAAATTATTTATTCATAAACAATTGCTTTCAAACAACTACAGTGAAAGTCACTTTGTTAATCTGTAGAGGTACATTTTTTACATCAAAAGTCAATACACAACAGAAATCAAGATCCCATAATGCAATTTATAACCATAAATAAACTGTGAATCACAATAAAAGTGTTTTTAATAATATTCTAGGGTAGATTTCAATATTCTATTGTAATTATTATTATTATATATACTATTTATTTTAAATAAATTTTAAATGTTTTTTAAGATGTACTTTAAAATGTTAGTTAACAAATACACTCACTGGTCACTTTATTAGGTACACTTTACTAGTACCGGGTTGGACCCCCTTTTGCCTTCAGAACTGCCTTAATCCTTCTTGGCATAGATTCAACAATGTGCTGGAAATATTCCTCCAAGATTTTGGTCCATATTGACATGATAGCATCACACAGTTGCTGCAGATTTGTCGGCTGCACATCCATGATGTGAATCTCCCGTTCCACCACATCCGAAAGGTGCTCTCAAAGGTGATCTGGTGACTGTGGAGGCCATTTGAGTACAGTGAACTCATTGTCATGTTCAAGAAACCAGTCTGACATGATTCACGCTTTATGACATAGTGCATTATCTTGCTGGAAGTAGCCATCAGAAGATGTGTACACTGTGGTCATAAAGGGATGGACTTGGTCAGCAACAGTACTCAGGTAGGCTGTGGCGTTGACACGATGCTGAATTGGCACTAATGAGCCAAAAGTGTGTACAAGAAAATATCCCCCACACCATTACACCACCACCACCACCAGCCTGAACCATTGATACAAGGCAGGATGAATCAATGCTTTCACATTGTTGATGCCAAATTCTGACCATCCACATGTCACAGGAGAAATCAAAACTCATCAGTAGGGCCAGACGGAATCTGCGAACAATTTTGGTATTTCTGCGCAGAATTTAGTTAAAAATCTGTGGATTTATGCAAATGATTTTAGGAGTATAATAACTAAAACCTTAATATATGAAATAAAAAGTAATAGCTTTTTAATGTTTACAATGCAAATCCAATAAGCTCCACTTTATTTGGTAAAAAAAGCAAGTCTCTCATATAATATATCTACTAGAAGACAGAAAATATTACAGTACAAATACTGTACAATTTACAATATTGTCAATAAATGATATAAATATTTTCATATTAGTCAATAATATTACTGTAATTAATTTAAAAACTGAATAAATATAGATGTACTCACATTTACACAAGTAAATAAACAGAATCAATGATGGGCTAAAAAATCTGCGTAATTCTCCGCGAGCATATTCCGTGTGGGCCTACTCATTAGACCAGGCAACGCTTCTCCAATCGTCTATTGTCCAGTTTTGGTGTGCCTGTGCGAATTGTAGCCTCTTTCCTGTTCTTAGCTGACAGGAGTGAAACCTGGTGTGGTCTTCTGCTGCTGTAGCCCATCTGCCTCAAGGTTGGACGTGTTGTGTGTTCAGAAATGCTTTTCTGCAGACCTTATTTGAGTTACTGTTGCCTTAGACATCTATACTGTTGTCTATCAGCTGGAACCAGTCTGGCCATTCTCCTCTGACATCAACAAGGCATTTGCGCCCACAGAACTGCCGCTCACTGGACATTTCCTCTTTTTCAGACCATTCTCTGTAAAGCCTAGTGATGGTTGTGCGTGAAAATGCCAGTAGATCAGCAGTTTCTGAAATACTCAGATCACCCCGTCTGACACGAACAACCATGCCACGTTCAGAGTCACTTAAATCACCTTTCTTCCCCATTCTGATGCTTGGCTTGCACTGCAGCAGATGGTCTTGATAATGTCTAGATGCCTAAACGCACTGAGTTGCTGCCATGTGATTGGCTGATTAGAGATTTGCGTTAACGAGCAGTTGGAAAGGTGTACCTAATGAAGTGGCCGGTGAGTGTATTTTTTTACAGTGCAAGAAAATTTATTTTTAATACTTTTTAAATACATATTTAAAAATATTAATTGGCAGATTGTTTACAGTGTAGGTAAAACAATAATTTGTTGTTGTACATTTGTTAATATACAATTTAAAACCCTAAATATAGGACAACTACAGGTTTATAAATAGAAATAAAAAAATATTAATTTTAAGAGAGAAAGAAAAAACATCCACACACTATCTGTATAAGTTGTTTTAAATTGGACTCATTAAACTGAACACACTACAGCACAGATGACAGAAGCGTTGTTGTACCTCTTCTTTAGCGATTCGCATGTGGTCTTTGACATCAGAGAAGATGGTGGGATGAATAAACAGACCTCTGTCCTCTACTGCACAACCACCAAACTCCAGCTTCGCCCCTTCCTTCTTCCCAGAATCCACCAAGGCCAGGATCTTCTCAAACTGATGCTGGTCGATCTGAAGAGCACAAACACATCATGCACACAAATAATGTCTTGTAGACTTTGACCCTGATTGTGCTGTTTTGGGGACTGTCGCTTTAAATTCAAATGAGATTGTGCTCTTTTCAAAAGAGGGCGGAGCTACAAATGCCTGTGTGTTAGCATAGTGGCAGATTGAAAAACAAGACTAACCTCCTATTGTAATGAGTGAGAGAGGGTCACTAGTGGGCGAAGCTTTCCCCCTCTGATGACACGTACAAAGGGAGAATGTCTATCAAAGTGTTTCTGCAGACTGTTTTCATCAATTGTAATTATAACAATACAATTAATACATTTTTACCATTTGAACTGTGTTTAAACAGTGATTTTGCATAATAATTCCAGTTTAAAGTAAAATCACGCCACTCTGCTGACATATAACTGAAGAGGTTAAGCTAAAGATCTATGCTAACTCGTGGTCTGCTATACCAGTCTGTCCGTCTAAAATTATTAACAATAAGAGTTGTTTATAATAGCAACAACAACAACAAATATACATTCACTTTTTGCCTTCATCAGAATTTCGAGAGGTCCTGGATTCATCCCGGACGAGACCCCAATTGTTACATTTAGCCTCCTTACTAGGTGTTCGGAGAAAAGGTAACACAAAAAAAATTAAGATAAATTAAAAAATCCAATTTAATTTGTTCGAATTACTTATGTCACAATTAGCCTTTTTACTAGGCGTTGGGAGAAAAGTTAACACACCAAAAAAAATTAAGAAAAATAAAAAAAAATCAAATTTAATTTGTTCAAATTAAAAATGTTACATTTAGCCTCCTTACTAGGTGTTCGGAGAAAAGGTAACACAACAACAACAACAACAAAAAAATTTAATTATTAAAAAAAATAAATTTAAAAATCTACTTTAATTAGTTCGAATTAATAATAATAAATAAATGCATAAATAAATTTTCAATAATGTGCATGGTGTAGAGAATCTCCTTTTTCTTTATCCCAGCATACTTTCACTTCAAATATAAGGAAAAAGAAAACTCAGGAAAAAAAAAAGATTTCAAAAGGAAAATGTTTTCTTTTATTCACGGTTTAACTTATTATTATTATTTTTTTACAGGTCCAGAAAGGGTAAACAAAACAAAGAAATACTTAAATGAAAACTTTCCTTGCCAAAATCGTCAGGAGAGGGTAAGGCAAAAATAATAAACAAAACAAAAACTTCCTAAATAGACAAGTCCAATATTTCCTAATACTAAAAAAACTTAAGTCAATGACAATGCTCTTACCTCAATCCCTGGCTAAACCCGAAACAGGAGAAAACTTAAAAGGGATAAACCCAAAATAAATTGGCACCCGTCTCCCTACACGGCTTACGTTTCACATAAAGTTACACATCACTTTTATTCACGCTAAAATCTCACAAGTTTCACGTTTTAAATATCACACTGTCTGTCGGTATGTCTGCCAATATATCTACCTGAATGTACAGTGAATATATATCTGTTAGACAACAAAATGTACTTTTGAGGCTTTTAGTCAAGAATTTAGTTGTTTGGATTGCGACTATGCAGTTTATTTGCAAGAATAGTGCCTATTCAAAAATATTTACAATTTCTGAGACCTCGTCGGCGGCCAAAGGCAGTTTACGTTCTCTATCCACAAGATGGCGCCAGAACCGCATAATAAGCCCTTGCTCAGTGTGTTCTCTGAGCGCGAATAAAAAGCTAAAAAGTGGAAGCCTCATGGTTTTTAAGGTGGACCGGATAGAGACAATAAGAAGCTGCGAACAAGAAGCTGGATTCAGCCTTGTCCCTCCTTATCGCAAACACAACAGCAGTCTGGTGAGAAATCTCTGTAGATGGATGGCATTTCATGTCACGTTCAGCCTTATAATCTTAAAATGTGAGCAAAATTTGCTGTTTTGTCATCACCTTAAGGGGGTCACACACCAGAAGCGCGCTTCACATTACGCTATAGAGAATCATTCAAACACTAGCTCTAAAGTGACGTTGGTGAATTAGTAACGGCTTCTGCTGTTCTGACATCAGCTGCAGATGTGAATGAATGGCGGAAGAAAGTAGTTCCCAATACAAAAGGATTTTAGACTCGTTGTGTTTGATTTTCTTTTTCATGTACAAGATTGTGCCGTCGAACTGTTGTATAAACGCAATATAACACGAATTGCAGTGTGCTATTGCTGTAAATCAGCACTGGTGGGGCGCACGACTCCCCCCCAGTGCTGATATACAGCCATAGCACAGTGCTACTCGTGTGATATTGCTCATCTACGTGTATGTCTACAGTATATATGACTCTCTGTATATCTACCTGTCTATCTATATACCTATCTACCTATCTGTCTTTCTATATATCTATCTACCTGTCTGTCTGTCTATACATCTACCTGTCTGTTTGTCTGTTAATATACTTACCTGTCTATCTGTCTCTCTAACTATATATCTACCTGTCTGTCTACAGTATACATAACTCTCTGTATATCTACCTGTCTGTCTATCTATATATCTACCTACCTGTCTGTCTGTCTATGTATCTACCTGTCTGTATGTCAGTTAATATACTTACCTGTCTATCTGTCTCTCTAACTATATATCTACCCGTCTGTCTACAGTATACATAACTCTCTGTATATCTGTCTGTCTATCTATATATCTATCTACCTGTCTGTCTATACATCTACCTGTCTGTATGTCTGTTAATATACTTACCTGCTGTCTCTCTAACTATATATCTACCTGTCTGTCTACAGTATACATAACTCTCTGTATATCTGTCTGTCTATCTATATATCTATCTACCTGTCTGTCTGTCTATATATCTACCTGTCTGTATGTCTGTTAATATACTTACCTGTCTATCTGTCTCTCTAACTATATATCTACCCGTCTGTCTACAGTATACATAACTCTCTGTATATCTGTCTGTCTATCTATATATCCATCTTCCTGTCTGTCTGTCTATATATCTACCTGTCTGTATGTCTTTTAATATACTTACCTGTCTATCTGTCTCTCTAACTATATATCTACCTGTCTGTCTACAGTATACATAACTCTCTGTATATCTACCTGTCTGTCTATCTATATATCTATCTACCTGTCTGTCTGTCTATATATTTACCTGTCTGTAAATATACTTACCTGTCTGCCTGTCTCTCTAACTATATATCTAACCGCCTGTCTACAGTATATTTGCCTCTCTTTATATTTGCCTGTCTGCTTATCTATATATCTATCTACCTGTCTGTCTGGGTATATATCTACCTGTCTATCTCTCTGTCTGCATACATACCTGCATGTCTATCTATTTATCTACCCGTCTGTTTTTATATCTACCTGTGTGTCAGTCTTAAGCTCCTTGCTTACCTGTGGTCCGTGTGATGTGCGTGGCTCCATTGGGTCTCCGATCACTATATTCTTGGCTCTTTCCACACTGAGACGCACAAACTCCTCATAAACGGGCTCTTGGACATAGACTCGTGATGCAGCGGTGCAGGCCTGACCCTGGTTGAAGAAAGCCCCCTTCTGTGTCTCCTCCACCGCCAGCTGCACTAAAAACATAGACACAAAATAAAAACTTTAAACAATCCAGTCATTCCCTAACTCTGGTAAATATTGTGCTGAATGATCTACCTTTACTCTATTTTACTCTGTTCATAATTTACCTTGGGTTATTAATTAATTAATCAGTGGGGTATTATGCACTTTATTGCCACAATTTATTTTGATCTACATTTTACATTATAAATAAACCATTGACTAATCGATCTATCTATAACTAATAGATCTGTCTGACTATATATCTGTCTATCTACATGTGTGTCTAACTGTCTGCCTGTCTATATATCTACTGTCTGTCTATATTTGTAACTGTCCATCTATATCTACCTGTGTGTCTGTCTATCTATGTTTCTACCTGGCTGTCTATCTATATATCGACCTGAATGTCTGTCTGTCTTTATATATTCCAGTTTGTCTGCCTATCTTTATATCTACTTCTCTGTCTGTCTTTATCCATCCGTCTGTCTATATATCTACCTGTCTGTCTGAATGTCTATATATCTACAGTACATATCTGCCTGTTTCTATATCTACAGTATTAGTCTGTCTGTCTGTCTGTCTGTCTGTCTGTCTGTCTATATATCTACTGTCTGTCTATATTTGAAACTGTCCATCTATATCTACCTGTGTGTCTGTCTATCTATGTATCTACCTGGCTGTCTATCTGTATATCGACCTGAATGTCTGTCTTTATAAATTCCAGTTTGTCTGCCTATCTTTATATCTACCTCTCTGTCTATCTATATATCTATCTGTCTGTCTGTATAACTACCAGTCTGTCTATATATTTACCTGTCTGTCTAAATATCTATTTATCTACATGTTTGCCTATTTCTATATATATATTAGTCTGTCTGTCTATCTATCTATGGATCTACCTGTCTGTATGTCTGTCTATATATCCACCTGCAAGTCTGTTTATCTATATATCTACCTGTTTGTCTATACACTGTATCTATCAGTTTGTCTGTCTGTCTATCTATCTATCTATCTATCTATCTATCTATCTATCTATCTATCTATCTATCTATCTATCTATCTATCTATCTATCTATCTATCTATCTATCTATCTATCTATCTATCTATCTATCTATCTAACTGTCTGTCTGTCTGTCTGTCTGTCTGTCTGTCTGTCTGTCTGTCTACCTACCTGTTTCTCTATTAATATATATACCAGTCTGTCTGTCTGTCTATCTATATATCTACCTGTCTGTATGTCTGTCTATAGATATACACCTGTCTGTCTGTCTATTTATCTACATGTTTGTCTTTATATCTACCATTTTGTCTATTTATATATCTACCAGCCCGTCTGTCTATCTATATATGTATCTGTCTGTATGTTTGTCTATATATCTACCTGTCTATCTGTTTGTCTATCTATGTATCTACATGTTTGTTTGTCTATATCTGTCTGTCTGTCTGTCTGTCTGTCTATCCGTCTACCTATATTTATACCAGTCTGTGTATATATCAACATGTCCATCTATATATCTACCTGTCTGTCTGTCTATCTATATATAATGCCCATCTGTCTATGTATCAGCCTATCTGTATATCTATTTATCTACCTTTCTGTAAGTCTGTCTATATATGTACCTGTCTGTCTGTCTGTCTATTTATCTTTATATCTACCTGGCTCTATGTCTATCTATATATCAAACAGTCTGTCTGTCTATCTATATCTACCTGTCTGTCTGTTTAACTATACATATACCTGTCTGTCTGTCTGTATATATATCTACCTGTCTTTCTATTTACTCACACACCAGTCTTTCTGTATATCTGTCTGTCTATACATCTACCTGCATGTCTATCTATGTATCTACCTGTCTGTCTGTCTGTCTGTCTGTCTATCTATATACCTACCTGTCTGTCTATTTACTCACACACCAGTCTTTCTGTATGTCTACCTGTCTGTCTATACATCTACCTGTCAGTTTGTCTGTCTGTCTATATATCTATATAGCTACTGATCTGTGTATATATATATATATATATATATATATATATATATATATATATATATATATATATATATATATATATATATATATATATATATATATATATATAGACAGACCAAAACTAACCCTGTTGTAGATTTCATAACTCTGGCTATAAGGCATCCCTAAAACAGTTTTAAACTTACAAATGCCAAACGTTCTTTTACCCTTCATTAAATGCAGGGTTAAAAATGTCGACCTCGCTCATTAGCCCTACACACTCATTAGTGAGCACTAAAAAACCCTAGTGTTTTTCTCATGCCCTTATGCTTTGTTTGGTTCTGCAAAAGTGCAGCGTATGACGTGTCCGTTTGATAGCCGTGCCAATGTTCATGCTCCGATTCATATGTAAACCCGATAACATGATGCATTTTTATCATTACACCCTTTCTGGAGTTTAATGAGCTGTGCATTGGCATAAATCTGGCTTTGCTGCGCAGATGTGAATGTACATAATAACAGCAGCATGTGAAGCAGAGAGGAGTTCACAGATGCACGGGTGGTCCGCGATATTGCAACATCAATAACCTCCAGCCAAACAAGCCCCTCAGAAATATAAACTGCACCACAATCAAATGCACTTGAATGAACTATAATCAGAGTGTGTTAGGTCGCTTAACCCTGTAAAGCCTACCGTATCATCACAGTATGTGAATTTATAATAAGGCCATTGCTGAAATAAAACGCTGCCAACAGTGGAGGGGGGTAGAATCTTACAGTGCCTGCACAATATTTAGTTTGATCATTAATATTGCAATGTGTGAGAATTTTTCAATATTTGTACTAGAAACGAGACAAAGCAAAGCATTTTTGCATTGTAATTATTCAATTTCTGTCCCTGAATACTGTTAGAATCCTCAAAAAACGTTCAAATAGTGCTATTCAACCTATCTTCAGTAACTATCCGGGGTCTTTAGCCTATCCGGGGTCGCCACAGCGGAATGAACCGCCAACTTATCCAGCAAGTGTTTACGCAGCGGATGCGCTTCCAGCCGCAACCCATCCCTGGGAAACATCCACACACACATTCACACACACACACACACACACACACTTATACAGTATATAATCTATCTATCTATCTGTCTGTCTGTCTGTCTGTCTGTCTGTCTGTCTGTCTGTCTGTCTGCCTGCCTGCCTATCTATCTATCTATCTATCTATCTATCTATCTATCTATCTATCTATCTATCTATCGACCGATCTACCTGACTTTTCTTTCTTTCTTTCTTTCTTTCTTTCTTTCTTTCTTTCTTTCTTTCTTTCTTTCTTTCTTTCTTTCTTTCCATTTGCTTCAATTTAGTTTAAATACCTAACCCAGACCCTGTCTGCTTGTCTATATATCTCCTGGTCTGTCTGACCTATTTATATATCTACTTGTCTGTCTGACTATTTACCTGTCTGTCTGTATAAATAGTTGTCTATCTGTCTATCTATATAACTACCTGTCTGTCTGTCTGTCTGTCTGTCTGTCTATCAACTTTTCTGTCTGTCTATCTATTTTTATGTCCGTCTGTCTTTCTACCTGTCTGTCATGTTTTCTTTCTGTCCGTCTATCTAACCTACATCGCTATAAAAGTAGCATAAAAAGAAAAGCCGACCATGTATGGAGGTAAACGGTGAGCAGTACAACCCCAAAACATTCGTTTTACACACTAAATGTAGACATATGTCCCCTTAAGTAAATACTTCTTGGTTCTCAAAAATGTATCCCTGGGCACATAATCCTAATGAGCCTGTGTTGGAAATGACAAGGCACAGCATGGTGGCTCAGTGGTTAGCACTGTCACCTCACAGCAAGAAGGTTGCTGGTTCGAGTCCCAGCTGGGCCAGTTGGCATTTCTGTGTGGAGTCTGCATGTTCTCCCTGCATTTGCATGGGTTTACTCCGGGTATGGGTGTTTTCCTGTACTGGGTTAAAGCTGGAAGGGCATCCGCTGCGTAAAACATATGCTGGAATAGTTGGCGGTTCATACCTCTGATAAATAAGGGACTAATGTATGAATAAATACAAATCTGTGTTAACAGAAAGTAACGTTGATGCACTCGCAACAGAAACAGAACATTAAGTATGGGTGGGGCTTTCTTTTTGCGCATCATTCCCTCTTAGCAAACGCTTAAGCCTAGTTCACACTATAGGATTTTTAACATCAGCAGATCGCTGTGCCGGTCACACTACATGACTTGACTTTGTGTCTTTTAATCTCTGTGGTGTTCACACTACGCAACACTCTGTGAATGATCCGCAAGTGGGGGGTCACACACTACATGATCTGACAACATCTCATTCCCCATCAGCTCATTCAAGCTACCAAACCACAGCCAATGAAATTTTGAGGGAGGAGTCGTAAGAAACAGCTGAACACTATTGGCTGCTTGTGTGCTGATGACATCACTGACAGCGTTTTTAAGCTTTGGAGAAAGCATTTAAAAACATCGTCAAATCAGTTGATTTATCAGCGGATTAATCACTCATCTGCAGGTTCCAGTGGATAGATTCACAGAGAGTTTTTTATTTTTGTAATTTTATAACTCTTTGAAATAAAACTAACATATTTATAACACCCTGCCGTTTTCTAACTATCAGTGTATTTCTTTCTGACATTGTTTTTTTTTAATACAAAACAGTAAAGAACTGAGCATTTCTGCCTTAAATTAACATATTGGTTAAATTTACTGCATGCATGTCTGATACTTTTCACTGTGACTTTAAATATGTGTGCGTTTTCTTGCTTAACAACTTCCTGCTAACATAAACAAAACTTTCTGATGGCAAAAACATCAATTTATTTCAGATATCTTTCAAAACAGCATATTCTGTGCTGTGAAATAGCTCCTGTTTGAAAGTGAAAATGAAAGCCAAGCCTTTAAGTGTTTTAGTATCTTAACTACATATTTATAGGCTGTATTACCAAAAAAAGATTATATTTTAGGGTAATGGTGTCATTAAATATGATGCGAGACATTCAAAGCTTAATTTTAATATCTCAATAATAGCTTTGAATGTAAATATGTTGTGACAATATGGCGTTTTATATAAGAACGATCAGAATGAGCAGTATGGTAATTCTAATAGTTACAGAATTCTAGTTCCACTGTTAATATAGCCTATTCTCATGTCTGTGCTAACGCAGAATGAAGAGAGTGCGCCGATGCCCATTCTGACCAATCACAGATGTTTCTGCTGAGCTCCTAAACACACAGGCATTCAGCTCATGCTGATCTGCTCTCTCATTGGCTGCAGCTCGTCACTACATCTGACCACACGTGGGGTTGAGTCGGCCGACTGCTCTGGAATATTTAGCATGCTGAATGTTGGATTTCCGTCTGCGAGGTGTCGGCGACGCGTCAGCGAGCCTCGTTGATGCGTTGTTCAGTAGTTCACACATAAAGAGCGGCGAGCGCCGAGCACCCGCAGATTTTTTCCCGATCACAACCCGATCTGTCGGCGAGCTCGTTAACTTCCAAATCGGGCTCAAATCAGGCTTAAAATCCTCTAGTGTGAACTAGGCATAAAGCAGCACATTCTTAGTGTGTGTGTGTGTGTGTGTGTGTGTGTCAGGTTTTTTTGGTGTACAAATATTTTTTATAAGTGTTGAGCCAAAATTGACACAAAGAACAACCGCTGAACCCTAAACATATTTAGCCTTCATGAAAATATGTAACAATGTAATTTTGTTGGGTCATTTAAGAAAAAAAAAAACAGTGACAACTTTAGGGTTTAGTTGCACCAATGATTTCTTTTTTTGCGTGCAGGCATCATTATAGTTTCAGCCATGTGATTTCTTGACTCACGGTCTGAGTCTGCAAACACGATGCAGGGGTTTTTTCCTCCGAGCTCCAGAGTGACTCTCTTCAGATTACTGCTGGCCGCCGCTGCTTTCACCAGCTGACCAACCTGAACACAAACACCAGATAACCAATAACAGGCTGCCGCTGAGAATCATCCTCATGATCATATGGAGGACAATGAAAAACTCAACTAAAACACCACACAGTTGCAGTAAACAGCACTGATGTCCAGCTCACATGGACTAAATAGTTTAATAGTATTTGATTGAAAAAAATCCCATGGGTAAAATAAATCATCTCATCGTAGCTATAAAATGATTTTCTTAATCCTTTCTGCAATGACTCAAATCACTGATCTGAGCTCCCCGAGTTCATCAAGATCTTTTGGATACATCTTCAATGCCTCCTCCATCTTAGCCCAGACATTCTTAATAATATTCATATCTGGTGACTGGGCTGGCCAATCCTGCAGCACCTTGACCTTCTTTTCTTTCAGGAACTTTGCTGTGGAGGCTGAAGTATGAGAAGGAGCGCTATCCTGCTGGAGAATTTGCCCTCTCCTGTGGTTTGTAATGTAATGGGCAGCACAAATGTCTTGATGCCTCAGGCTGCTGATGTTGTCGTACACTCTGCAGATCTCTCGCACGCCCTCATACTGAATGTAACCCCAAACCATGATTTTTCCTTAACCAAACTTGACTGATTTCTCTGAGGATATTGGCTCCATGTGGGTTCCAGTAGGTCTTCTGCAGTATGTAATGATTGGGATGCAGTTCAACAGATGATTCATGCGAAAAGTCTACCTTCTGCCACTTTTCCAAATGATCAACTTGAAGTCAAGTTATTATTTGTTGCTCTTACAACAGGGATCGACAACAAGACTTTTGTCAGGTAGTGTATATCTAACTCAAAAAAAAAAGCTTAAGTCAACTTTGTTTACAGTGCTGTTACTATATTAAGGTATTTTTTATGATTTAGAAGAGACTCACACATAAAGCACCTCTAACTGACCAGCGAAAGTCATGTTTTCCCATCATGCCTTACCTCTGTGGATCCAGTGAAGGCCAGTTTGTCGATGTTCATGTGACCAGCGATCGCAGCTCCAGCCGTCGGTCCAAATCCAGGAACGACATTCACAACTCCAGGAGGAAAACCAGCCTGTCGGACATGAGGAAAAAACAGACATTTGTACCATTTATAAAACACACACATGTGCACTTAAAATCCCTGTGACATTACGATAATATTTTTTAGATGTTAGTATTAGAATTCACCCATTCATTTTCTTTTCGGCTTAGTCCCTTTATTAATCAGTGGTCGCCACAGTGGAATGAACCACCAACTTTTCCAGCATATGTTTTACACAGCGGATGCCCTTCCAGCTGCAACTCATCATTGGGAAACACACACATACTCTCCTTCACACACATACACTACGGACAATTTAGCTAACCCAACTCACCTATATGAACCTAAACCAAAGCACCCGGAGGAAACCCACGCCAACACGGGGAGAACATGCAAACTCCACACCGAAATGCCAAATGCCAACTCGAACCAGTGACCTTCTTGATGTGAAGCAATTGTGCTACCCACTGCGCCACCGTGACGCCCCTGCTAGTATTAGTATTGTTAGTCTTTAAGATATGTGTAGACTCACAGGTGTCAAACTCAGTTCCAAAAGGGCCGCAGCTCTGCACAGTTTAGTTCCAACCCTAATTAAACACACCTGATCAAACTAATTGAGTCCTTCAGGCTTGTTTGAAACCTACAGGTAAGTGTGTTGGAGCAGGGTTGGAACTAAACTGTGCAGGGCTTCGGCCCTCCAGGAATTGAGTTTGACACCCCTGGTGTAGGCTAAAGTGCTCCAAAACAGTGCCAAAATTCATGTTTAGTAGATATAAATCTGATGTAAACATGTAAAGCTTGTCCACTTCCGCCTAAAAAGATCAACAGATCTAAATGGAGCCTTTAAGGGACCTTTAAAGTCCCAGTGACATTAAAATTACATTTTTTTAGATGTTAGTATCAGTAGTCTTAAGGATATCTATAAGCTAGTGTGCTCCAAAACAGTGACAGAATTTGCATTTAGAAGGTACAGTATAAACATTCAAAGTTTCATGTTTGTCACTTTAGTCTGTCACTTTAGCCTAAATGGATCATTTTTTGACCTCACCTCATTAAATCTTCTGACCAATCAAATGCTCTCTAGGGTCTGACATACCCCGCCCCTTTCAAGTGCTTCTTATTTTTATTTCATTTGATGCACTTGAGCTCAGCCACTCTCACTGGCAGAGCTGTGAGAAACATGAAACCCTATTGGCTGTTTTCTTAAAGAGGAGTAGCTACTCTATGTCCTGCCCTTACTTCATGTTTCAGTTGAGATTACGTCAAACATTGAATAAAAAATCTATTTTAAAGCACCTCACGGGAGCATTAAATGCCAGCTAATATGTTTTTTTTTGTATGGAATTTTTACACATTTTTGTTTAAATATTAAATATTAAAGTTTTTAACATATCATTGATTCCAGCCCTGATTTCAGCCCTGATAAAGCAATAGACATTTTAATAAAATAATAATGAAAAAATAAATAATAATAACAATAATAATAATAATAATAATAATAATACATTGAATTAAAATGAAAATACCATGACACAATTTAAATGAAATAATAAATAAAATTATAAAAAATATTAAAAAACACTGTTTAATAAATAAAAATAAATAGATAATAATACATTCAATTAATATCAACATTCAATGACAGTTTGAAGGAGCAGTTAAAATAAAATAATAAATTAACAAATAAATAAATATGTTTTTAAAAGCATGCAATTCACAATTTAAATATATTTTCAATAATATTAGTTATAATATAATATAATATAATATAATATAATATAATATAATATAATATAATATAATATAACATAATATAATATAGTACATAAATTCAATTAAAATCAAATTACTAAAATGAAAAATAAAAACATAATATATAATAAATAAGTGTACAATGAGTTAATTAAATAAAAATATAGTAAAATAAAATAAAATAAAAAATAGAAACATAATATATATTAAATAATAGTTTACAATGGGTTGATTAAATTAAAATATAGTAAATAAATTAAATTAAAATAAAATTATTAAAATACAAATAGAAGCATAATACAAATAATAACAATAATAATACATTAAATTAACATACATACATCATTATATTAAATAAAAATGTAATTACTAAAATAAAAAATATAAACATAATATATAATAAATAATAGTTTACAATGAGTTGATTAGTAGGTATTGGTATTGCACCTAGTTCAAAATACACGCTAGAGCAGGTTGCCAGATTGAAGACATGATTTAAGTCTAACTAAAAGCAACGACACGCGATAGTAAGAATATTTTCCATATTAAAAGGAGTTTTTGTCCAAACCAACACCTGAAATTTATATATTGTAAAATGCTTGTATTTCAAGCAGCTGAACAGAAAACAGACAAGGAAAACTGACAACCTCATTTACACCTCATGTGCTTTATTCAATGTTAAATGCTAATAATGTGAGTTTGAATGTCATTTTACATGACATTTATTGCCATACTACTAAAAGCAGCAGCAGATGGTTTACCTCAGATCAGGAAAATAAAATAAACTTTTTGTTTAGAACTTTAGATCTGATTCAGCATCTACAATTAATAATGTTAAAGAGGTTTAATATGTATTGATTACATTACAAACCTCACCATTTCGTTGGAGTGCAGTGAGTGCACTATTCTGTGCTTATGAATGGCTGTATTTGAATTTCTGTCCTGTTTCGTCTGATGCAAACAGCTAAATTGCTTATCACTGCAAATCTCATGTAGTGTGTTGTTAGGACATGGGGTTACCTGCTCACCTAATGTTTGCATTCGTAGTGTTTAAATTATTTGTTAGTTAATAACCTCATGTGCAACTCTGAATCTGCATCTCACTTCCGAGTCTTCTACTGTCCACCAGAGGTCACATTTCGGTCATGGACGCATGCTTTGAGAGCCTTTCTGACTGAACGAATCACACCAAGGCAACCTGAGGTGCTGAAATATAATTGGCTAAACTGGCATTGAGGGGGTTTAAAGCAGGGGTGGGCAAACTTGATCCTGGAGGGCCGGTGTCCTGCATAGTTTAGCTCCAACACTAATCCAACACACCTGAACATGTTAATTAGTGTCTCCATGATAACCAAAAATCTGTAACAAGGTGGACCGAGTTCGCCCACCCCTGGTTGAAAGGGACCAAAGCAAAGACACATTCAAAGCAGAATATCTGACTTCAGCATTGTTTTTCAGATAAACAAGAATGTTCACTTAGCATGTTTCCTAAATATCTGCAAACATATTATGGAATTTGTGCGCTTTAGAAGAGTCAAAAACTCACACACAACAGCTTTAAAATGAGCTGAATCAACACAATTCTTGAGCTTTTTTGGGACAACTTAATCCACTTAAATATGTTAAAACAATCATTAAATTTCTTTTCAATTTATTTATAAAGCACTTTAAAACAACACAGTTGACCAAAGTACTGACAACAAAGAGTAAAACAAACTTTTAAATACAAATAAATAAACACACTGTAAAAAATGCTTTTCTTACTTAAATTTTTTGTCTTGTTTCTAGTCCAAATATCTTAAAATTTCTAAATCAAGAAGCATTTTCTAGACAAAAAAAAACATATAGTCTTGTTTTCAGAAATAATATGCCAAAATTAGCTGAGTTTTTCCTTAAAACAAGCAAAATAATCTCCCAATGGGGTAAGCAAAATAATCTTATGTCAAAAGAAAAAACAAGATTATTTTGCTTACCCCATTGGCAGATTATTTTGCTTGTTTTAAGGAAAAACTCACTTAATATTGACACATTATTTCTCAAAACAAGACAATATGTTTTGCTAGTCTTTAAAATGCTTCTTAATGTAAAGAATTTTAGCTGTTTAGACTAGAAACAAGACAAAAGCTCCAAGTAAAAAAGCTATTTTTT